GAGGTTGGGAACGTGTTTCGACAGGCTCACGGGTGCTTCGCTGGCTTAACAACGATTCGTCTTAGACAAAATATTGACTACAATGAATGTGAAGTCTGAGATAAGTTCGTGACGAGTGGGACAGAAATTTAAGGGATGTGTTTTTTTTATCAGACCCCCGTGTTCATGCCGAAAGTGTGCGACGCCATTGAAGGTGACCTTCAGTAACCATGTACGTCACGGCGAGTTTGCGCAAAACGAGTCCAACTTCAGATAGTTTGCCTTTCCAGTTCTCAAACTTAAACTGGCGATTTTCGGTTATTGCGTGTGCCGAGAAGCTATGTAACAAATGTTCCGCTAGCATGGCTAAAGCACTTGACAGTGGGGCAACTGTTATGTTAGCCTGTCAGCTAAACTGTTTGGGTGAGTTACATGTGCATCGGCATCCATCGTCACGCACTCGTCGCAATTGCCGACTTGTGAAAACCGGACGATTTTGTATTTTGCTAAGAAGCTATAGAAACATTGCGACGATACCGTTGGCATGTACTCCAGGTGCAGCACTCATCATATAACACTAAGCAAAGAAGGTAGAGGTGAAGTGAGACAGGGACATTTGGCCAAATTTGAACGCGACAATCCTACTCTTTACGCATGTAAGAAACAGACATACTTTGCTCACCACAGCCTCGCGAATCTTTCAAATGCGCCCTGCTGCTCTCGTGGGCGTCCTGAGCTCCATGCCCGGCTTCCGACACAGCAACATCAGCCGGACGGCAGCCGGGCTCAGAAGCCTGGGTGTCGTCCGTCTTGCTCACCATGGTCACAAAGACAAACGGCAGACGTGACAGTGTTGGAAAAGAGCTATTTGCAAGTCGTCTTGGTATGTTTAGGACCGGTTGGCAAGGGACAGGCTTACAATAACGCGTACGCTTAGGAAGGACAACGCTGTATGTATCACACGTGCTTCTCTCTTCTCCTCCTCTTGACCTCTTTGCCTTTGCCACGTTGGCCCCGCCCACTGACTGAGGATACTACGGAAAGTCACACGCGACAAATGTCATTACTAAAAAAATGCTGTTGAGTCATGATGTATGTAATACAGTACTGTATTGTACTGCATTAGTGTTTCCTACACTTTATCCAGTCGAGGCACAATTTTGAAATTATGATAATCTCACCTCGATTTTTTTCCCAATTACTTACTCAAAGTGAATTTGCGCCTGCTTTGCTGAAATATGTTACAGGTGCATGAATGTTAACAGATGTAATCAGAGTGACCAAACGTCCTCTTTTTTAAACCCTGTCCAGGCGTTCGGGAGAGTTTTATAAATGCATAAAAATGTCCGTCTTTGATCGGTTGTCCTGGGACCAAAAGCACGTGTTTAATCTTCCTGACTTTTTTTTTAATTAGAGGCGCAGTACTCCGTTATCGGCGTGTGTGAGGTGGATACTGTACTGAAGTGATGGTTTTTCCTTTGTTAAATTGTGAGACTACTGTTTTATTATTTAAGCGGCTCCGATAATAGATTGTTTTATTTTCTATAGCAGGCACAACATGCTGAAAAAATATCGTCATTGTAATAATGGCACATGCAGTGCAGAACGTAAAATATGTCATTTCGGTGTCCGACTGTCCTCTTTTTTTTAAATCAAAATACTGTATGGTCACCCTACTGTATGGGTTAACTGCACGTTCTGCCATCTGGTAGAAGATCATTTAATTGTTCTACCTGTCATAATACGTCGCAGATGAACAAAGATCATAATGCTATATTATTTGCAGTGAATACAATATTTTTCGGACCAGTTAAGTGAGACGGTGGTTGGGTGTCACTAGTGAACGTAACAGATCGTACAAAATGGGTGTAAAGAAGACTACAAAACTCAATCACCATATGAACTTTGACCACTTTGACCTAAATACTGTATAATCAGTTCTTGACAATCTCATTGTGGAGTCAGACAATGAAGGATATCATTTGCGCTGACATCACATGCATGCATATTGTAGAATATGCCAAGTATAAAGTATATCTTACAGCTGCTACTATTCCATTCATTTCGCAAGTAGCTGAAGTACAGAGATAAAATCTATGAAATACAGTACTGTATTAACTGAAAGTGTGGTTGGTGTCCCGTCTATGAAGAATACACTTGTCGAATGCTTACTTAGGTACTCAGCATAGTATCAGAAGGTCTACCGTTTTACCATATGTGCATATTTGATTATTTATTATATTTCTATTGTATCATTCGATGTCCTACCAAATGAACTGTCTAAGGGTGTGTATTAGAAAGCATTCAACACGAGGAGACTGACAGATCTTGTTTGTTTATTCCAATCATGTTTACAGTGCAGCTTACAGAGTTGATGCAGTTGTCAGCTCACCCCAAGACATGGACCATTTTAGGAGTACCTAACTTCCCCTTTGTCGTTGATGGTGTCAAGCACATATCAACTACTAGCGCGTCACAGCAGAAGCTTCTTGGGGCCACAAAGAGTTGACTGAAACTGTTCTAATAACTCCAAACTGGATAAAAAGATGGAAGACACTTTTTTTTCTGGCTGCGGGACGTGGGAATACATTGCAGCAAATTGAGGATTATTGACTTGAAATAAAAATAACAAAAATATCTCATTATAAGGGCACTCGATTTAAAAGGTAAACTTGCTTTGGCTCATTCCTGTGATCATACTGAAGCACAGATGCAAAACAGGTTTGTTAAAGCTGAATATGTAGAAATCCAGAATGGGACCTATTATACTGTCGTGCTACAACCGGATGGATAAAGTTTTTGATCTACCTGATGTGTCCTTTTTGGATACTGTGTTCTTAACAGTCTTAAATTTGAATCCTTCTGTAAAGCAACATTGTACCAGGAAGTTGTACGAACGACACCCCCTACTACACAGTTATACTATCATGGCTTACGATTTGGGACAATAGTTTTAGCTGGCATACTATCCTGACAATCATGTGGCATAGCAGCATGCCCACATGTTTATTGCTGCCACGATTGCAGCAGCTAATCGGTCCTCACACCTTCAGGTAACTACTACTATTCATCAGTATAACAGAATACGACAAAAGTCAAACAATGAGGGATTACACATGAAACAAAATGGACAACAGTAATGATATATGAACAGATTAAGTCCGCAGAACAGCTGTCACAACCTAAAAACGAGCCATAACTATTGAAATATGGTGGTCGACTGAAGACAAAAACAGAATATTTAAATGCCGATGTCAGTATTTTGGACAAGCCTCACACGTCTCATCACAAGTGAATTAAGTTTCAAAGCAGGACTCGGTCACATTAATTACATTGAGAGAAAGAAAAGTCAAAATATAAACTTCAATATATTGTTTCATACAAAACACATTGTTTGCTGTATGATAAGGCAGCGATTACAACAGAGCTTTGAATGTATCACAGAATAAAGAAATATTGACCAAAAAAACTATTCAGTTTACTTATTGAATTCAGTTCACTCATTCTCATACTTGGGGGTTTCTTCTTACACTTGCATAACTACATACCAATATTCTGTGCAAAGCTCCTGTCTAAACTGACAATCTCCCTGCACATGTTGATATCGCCATAGTATTTAAGAATTAGTACACTTGGAAAATGTTACAACCACACCATCAATTGGAAAAAAAAAGTCCTAACTTAACCAACAGTCACATTCTTGTTGATCCATTTTTCCTGAGATGTAAATAAAAGAAAGTTAGTTGCCAGCTAGTGTTTTTGTTTGGAACACAAAATTCAAGTGCAGTGAGTAATTTGGGCTTGAATAACAATTGAGCAACTGTTTATACAAAGCAACTCATGTATCAAGCACACACAGTTAAAAAAAAAAAAACACTACTTCGCGAAGAATCGTTTAGAAAAACGTTTGGTACTCAATTTTAAAATTGGATATGAAAAGTTACCAATTAAAACAAAAAAGCCATGTCCACTTCAACAAATAGCCTTCAAGTTTCATAAAATGAAAAAAATCTTCCCATCTCACAGATTACACATTTGACTTGTCAAGAGGTAACAACTGTCCACAGCGAGTTTAATTCAGTATTAAGGAGTGGAACATTTGCTGTTAATGTGCATTTGTGTGAGGACCGTAAAAATTGCAGTACCATTCCTCATAGATATTTTGTGACCACGTCCTAATCAAAACCCATAACGTGCTCTACAGATATGGCTCTTGGAACTAAAGACAGTTCAACATTTTTGTTGTCATCCAGTGATATACAGTACTCATACAGACATACACACTCAGATCGTTCCAACCGTGACTGTCGTTTTGAGGTTACACAAACACACAGTGTGGAGTTGATTTATGGTTCACCTTGAAGGGTCACAGTTGGTCACGGCCACATAAAAAAAGCTTGCCTTCCACACAACATGCCTGCCGCAACCTCAGCTGGACTCCAAAAAAAAACGGGATTGCTTTACTATTAAGGCCCCACAGTATACAAGTGACACCCGTGTAAACACATCATTCTAGTTCAAAGATGGACTTGAAGTGACACGTCTTGTAGTCCATAACATTAAAAAGGATATCCGGCAGAGGTGGGCAAACCTCTGATCTCAAGGGCCACAATTGATTTTTAAATCGGACACTTGGCTCAGTTCATTTGGAGATGAGGTCAAAAATGTGTGTGTAAAATTACGATGAAGAAACACATATGTCATCTGTTCATATAGATAAATATATGTTTATATGTTTTATATCTTTTATATGCATGTGTTTATATATATTACAATTTTATTAACTGAATGTTTCAAAAAATGAATAAAAAATATTTTCTATAAATACGTTTCAAATTTCATCATCCATCCATTTTGTAATCCGCTTATCCTCACGAAGGTCGTGCAGGGGCAGGAGCCTATCCCAGCTGTCTTCGCGCAGTAGAGCCGGAATCGAAACCTGCACCTCCGCACTGTGAGGCAGATATTTTAACCAGTCGATCACCATGCTGCCGCATATTTCATCATTTAAAATAAACGAATTAACCAATTATTTAATTCAATGACTAAAAAAATGTAAAAAAAACAAAAAGGAAATACACATTCTTATTAACCAATTTTAGGTAACAAATATGACAAGAGTCTTGATAATTTAAATGCTTGTTGGGCTGGATTAAAAAACATAGTCGGCCATATGTGGCCCCAGAGCCATACTTTGCCCACGGCAGGTCGACGGTGTTATTCCGTCAAGGGGCAGCATAACAGAAGTGTTAACAGAAGCAAAAAAAGATCAGTCCTTTGCTAATCTGCCTGTGCCTCAGCACCAGGGGGCGCTGTGGTTGCAGACACCAGCCTGGCTGCATCTTCTTGAGGGACCACTGGCCCTTGCTGACCCACTTCCTCCTCATCTCTGAGCGGAAGCGATCTGTGTGTTCCCGTTTGCCTGGTGCGTACTCGGAGCCGCCAGGGGTGAAGGAAGAGGGCGGGGTCTGGCATGGCTGCAGGCTCCGCAGGGCCCGTCACTTTCTCGATGGGCACACATTCCCGGGCGCGCTCCATTCGAGAGCAGGCTCTCGCGCTCTTGCGCTTGGGTTTAACCCCAGGAGAAGAGTTGGAGGCTCCTGCGAGCGACTGCTGGGGGGAGATGTGCTCGCTGTCATATTGCGGGGGGCCCTGACGGGAAGCTCTGGTCAGGAGCGCATGCCTCTGCTGCAGCCGCTGATGATGCAGCTTCTGCTTGGCAGCGTGAAGCTGGAAGGAAAGGTACGCCGCCGCCTCGGTTTGTTTCTGAAGCTCGGTGTTTAAGATGGTGGAGCAGTGGCTGCGTCGTTTGAGCTCCTCAAGGAAGTGGCGCTCTTTTTCTTTCAGATTGGCTCGAAGGGCTCCCACCAACGCACCCTTGTGGAGCAGTTCCTTGCGAATTTCTCCAATAGTGCACTCCTGGTCACATAGACGGTCTTCTACACCCCTGCAGCGGGCCTCCAGCAGCTCCTCTTCCTCTTGTATTTCTAACACGGGCAAAGACAAAAGAGTGATGTCAAATGTCTCAAATACTTTACAGCACACTGAGTAGCGAAACGGGTGAAAACGCTAGGATGGCACGGTTGTCGACTGGTTAGCACGTCAGCCTCACAGTGTGAAGGTGCAGGGATCCATTCCGGCTCCGGCATTCCTGTGTGGAGTTCTCATGTTCTCCCCATGGGTTTTCTACGGGTACTCCATTTTCCTCCCACATTTCAAAAGCATTAACGGTAGGGTTAATTGATGACTCTAAATTGTCTGTAAGTGTGAATGGTTGTTCGTCAATGTGTGCCCTGTGACGAGCTGGCAACCAGTTCGGGGTGTACCTGCCTACTGCTCAAAGTCAGCTGGGATAGCCTCCAACACGCTGGCACCCTCGTGAGTAAAAGCGGATTAGAGAGGATTATTTATTTATATTCCCTGGAACAGATTATTACACTTTCATTCCTATCATTGGGAAAGAGTATTTGAGATACAATCATCACTGGGAAAGACTATTTGAGATTGAGTATTTGAGTTATAAGCATGGTTGTAGAATAAATGAAACTCAACACAAGGCACTACCACTGTATGTTGTTGATATATGTGGACAAAAATAAAGTGTGCATTCCCACTCTAAAATGTATGCTTATCTGCGATCAATAACCTTAAAATAAAACATAGTTGGACTCAAGGAATGTGAACTCAAAGTTCATTCGGCTAGTTCTGATACATATTGTCTCAAGAGACATAGTGCCTACAGCGCCCTCTTCACAAGAAATTAAAACGGACAACGGTACATTATTTTCATTGCCGTCAAACTCTCGGAGAGAAAGGAGAAGAGCGGTGCACATAAAAAGCAGAGTTCGAAATGGGCCTCGGGGCTGAGTGAGCAAAGCTGGCCAGAGGAGGAGATTACATCTTTGAGGCCACTGCTGATGTTTCATTACCAGAAATAGGTCAGATTTGATGAAGGGGAGAATCCCAAGGGTAGGGAGAGATTCGGTCATTCCTCAAGGTGAATCTATACATCTATCTATACCGACATTAGACATAAATATAGTGAAACCGCAGACATACTGGAATGAGAAACGATATACTTATACTGGAGCAAATTAGGATATCATTGGAAACCTAAATTTCAGTTGTGCAATTCGAAAAGTGACACTCATATAGCTTCTCTACACATAAGGACAATATTTAAATGATTATATTTTTATGAATTTTGATGAATAAATCTCAAAGCTAGCTTGATGAGGACTTACTTTTGATTTTTAATTTGGACTCAGCTCGCTATCATGATTTAGACAAGCTCACAAAGTGCTATCTGCATTTTCTCATACAGTATATGTATATCTAAGATGTATGTGCATGCCTTGAGATATGAGTTACATTTGGTCCACAATCAAGCCTGCAACTAAAAACACTCAAGACGATGGCTAAAAACAACTTCTAAATTGTGTCACTCGTAATGTAATTTATTGAGATAGTCCTGATATTTTTGGACACAGTTTCTCTCTTTGGTATTCCAGGAAAGCTCATCAGACACTGAATCCCGGGATTGCTGCGGCCCATCATCACCACACCCAGGTTGAGCTCATAATATTGGAGACTTCATAATGTGATCTTCATATCACCCCACACACTCCTTGCCTCCACTCCTGTCTGCCGCCTTCTCGTTTTCCCTTTTATC